ATATAGTATTCTTAATAATTTCTTACTGATATGTGTAAAATAATCAAACAAGGATACATGTGAGATCAAGATTAAAACCATCTTCTGTGAAACGTTTGCGTCGTTTGCTAACGAGCCCCTTTATGGGATTTGTCATTTTCATGTTGCTGATGGTATTGGCCATACTCGGCTGGCTTTGTCTTAATTCTCCTGCCTCAACTTCGATCGAACTATCTTCTGCCACCTCCTCGGGAACCTCTTCTTCTGCCTTTTGATTCTCAAAGGTTCTTGTAACCTATTATAAAAATTATGTGTCATAAAGCTACAAATTTGATTACCAATTAACGTGCATTTTATTAATTGAAATATGAACATAAATTTACCTGAGGCTTGTGAGCTTGTGAAGCGTCACACGAGCCCAGTTCTGGTCCTCTTTGTTCCTCCAGACAAACATGGAGAGGAGTTACGGAGGCCGAGATATGCTCAGAGATTTTACTATTCAACCTGCCACTGGTGGGTCTCCTGCAGGAAAAGCATATACCCATCAATTCCCAGAACATGTGTTCCTCTACTTAGGCATTGTTTTCATCGAGCATGTTCTATTTTTCCACCATGAAGCTCAGCGCTGGTTCTTGATCGGACCATTTTATGATGATATTATCACCATCACCAGTCTGGTATGATTTCACAAAACACAGCGACAATGAAGCTGCACAGAAAGCAGCAATCCTTGAAGAAAAGCTGTCCACATATACAGCTGTTGCAGCAAAGGACACGTAATACAAGAAATGCACACCATACACTCTCTCACAGGCTTGGTAATTACACAGCTACTACGAAAGACACTGGCCTCCGGATTGCTGCATTGTCCACCGCGGGCTTCTGTTTCTTAGTCTGCTCACATAGGTATTCCTGTTCCAGAAATCACAAAGATCACAATAGTATCATCGTCGACTCGCCAGGACCGACGATGAAGACTCGGCAGCAGCGACGGAGGAGAAAGAAAGAGATACACACAATGTTTTGAGAATTCTACTTTTACCTTGAAGGGGTTGAGAGATTCGGCGAGCGGAAGCGAAAGGGCTAATCGAAAAGGATAATGAGCGGCTGTTTGTCAAGTATCACCAGCTTACGTCCGTCTACATAGAACGCGGACACCCGAGTCGCGAAAGGGGTGGCAGGTTAAACATCGCGCGAGATAAGGAAACGGTGATTTGATGGTTCCTCCGGTCTGTTGATCAAGCCGATCGACGTGATGCGACGAATTATGATGCGATGTTATGCGGTACGAGGTGTCGCGCCGCATCGCCCGCGCTCGCTTTGCCGCGCTGTACACCCAGGTAGCCGGATGACAACGAGACCCACGAAGAGAGCCGACAATGAGACACGAACGGATGAGACGGAGTTTTAGGTTAAGCGCGTTCGCACTCTCTACGAAAGAGAGAGAGGCGGAGAGAGGAACGGTCCTCTCGTTTCTTCTCGTGCACGTTCAGCAACGGCAGCGGCGGTGGTGGCGGCGGTGGTGGTGGTGGTGGTGGCGGCGGTGGTGGCGGCGGTGGTGGCGGCGGTGGTGGCGGTGGTGGTGGTGGTGGTGGTGATGGTGGTGGCAGTGGCGGTGGCGCGTTCGTTTCTTGACGGCGGCAGCGGCGGCGGCAGCGGAAGAAGTTTCATAGCGTGAAGTCATTCACGACTTTATGCACTGTCCCGCAGTCATGTTGCACGTTACCTTTTTCGCGGATGAGGCCGAGGGAGGAAGGACACACGGCGATGGACTCGATGCCGAATTGAAGCCGCTAGCTGACACAACGCTCGCGCTGCTCGCTCTCTTTCTCTCTCTCCCCCCCCCCTCCTCTCACCCAACTCACTCGTCACTCGCGCTCTCTTTCTCTCTCCCCATCTCTCTCACTCATTCACTCTCATTCACTCAGTCTCTCTTTCTTTCTCTCTTACTCACTTACTCTCTCTCTTTCTCTCACTTCCTCACTCACACGGTCACTCTTTCTCTTCGCCGTGCGGCTGGATGGACGGCGACAATCGTCGCTGTCCCTTAGGCGTACGTTACCCAGGGATTGCTCCGCGGCGGAACGGCGGTGTATTACCGGCACCTTGCTTCGCGGCAGCGTCGCCGACGGCACGTAGTACGCTCGACACGCGTCGTTAACGTTAACGCCATGACAGCGTGTGCGTGTATGCGTATGATGCGCGCGCGCGCGCGCGCGTGGTGTGTGTGTATATATGCTTTCCACTACTTTCTCGCCTCTCGACCCCCGCGGCCGGCACAGATCTCCACTCCTCTCCGTTCCGTTTTGTTCCGTTCCGTTCCGTTCCGTCTCGTTCCGAGATGTACACACACGATACGTACGCACATACGCACGTGTACGCGTGGTGTGTATGTGCCTATGATATGTATATGTGTGTCATAGGCTCGCTCACTCTCGCCGCCGCAGCTCCCGTTCTCGCGTTTCTCGTTCGACGCGCGCGCTCCGCTCGCGTCATCGCGAACGAATCGCGGGATCTTTGTGGATCGGGAGGAGGAGCGGGAGGCGCACACTGGAGAAGTCGAATGCGTCGCTCGTGTTCGTCCTCGGTTCTCTTCATCCTGTTCGCTGCTGGTACTGTGTGTCGGTGTGTCGCCGCGGCAGCGCAAACGGATCTCGCATCGAGTTCTCTTTATCCGCTTAAAAACTATTCATAGTGAGAAGCGAATCCAAAGTTATTTCTCGATAAATGAAGAAATAAAGAAATTAAGAATCTGTATAATTCGTACAAACAATAGCGGTGGACATAAGAAATCTTACGGCTCCTCCTGACGCGAATTCTGCAGAGATTCTCCATTTCCGCAAAACTTTTTCTTTTTTTTTGTTTTTTTTTTTTTTTTATTATTCGATTGGAAGCTAAAAGCACCGATATATCAAAATGATTCGGTACGATTCAGTAGGTAATCGAGAAGTATCGCTTTGTCCACCACCTGTGATCTTTGTGTAATGTCCCTTAAGTGAGACGCTTATGAATACTAGCAGCATATGTTCGCACTTGTCAAAAAGAATCATTCTAAATAAAAGTAAAAGCGTAGATAGAATTCTTTTTCTTTGAGATAATTGTCCTTTTTGAAATGTAAAACGACGTTTCGCCTTTTTTTTCACATTTTCTTTTCTTATCTAAACCTAATGGTTTTGTTTTAATAGAGAAGAGTAGATCATTTTCCCGTTCCTACTCGATCTTTCTCTTTCTTGCATATTTTCCAGAATGTTTTTAGAATTAATAGCTCGAAGTAAGCAGAAATTCTGCTTTTTTTCTCGCATTTTTATCTCTGTTCCACACAATCAAATCTACGATTTGATTGTGTGAAAGATATTTCTTTTCTGATTTATAACTCTAAACTTTTCTGTCTCTTTTTAATTTCTTTTCTAAAAGATGAAAGGAGAAATCGCTTAGATCAATCTGCTCATTGTGTTTACTATACAATTTAATTTTTTCTCTTTTTTTTCAAAACACTTATCTATTTATTTTTAATGCGGAAAGTACGAGAATTTAAATCAACACGCTTTCTAAATTTTCTTAATTCTGAGCTGTGAAAAAAAAGAAAAAATATTCCAGATTATTTTTCTTTTAAAATTCTATAACGAAAGGTCTTCGTTTCTTGAACGCACGCTTGCGATCCTCTGTCTTTTTTTATCTTGTTTTTTTTTTATATTCTTCGTAACCTGTGATGTATGATATAACATTTATATCACATTTTTTTTCCATCGTGTATATTTTAAATAATTTTTGAGTTTGGTTGAGAAATAAATGTTAAAATATTTTCTTTAAATCGAGTTTATTTTTTGGTATAACATACACTTATATTACATTTTTTTTCAAATGTATGCGTCAGATCTTTTCAGAAATGTAAATGTTTCTTATATGTTATTTCTTTTACACATATTTTATTTTCTATATTTTTCTATATTTTTATTTAATCTTTTTAAAATAAAAGATTTCATTCTGAAATAACTATACAACAGCATTGAATTTTATGTATGTTCAGAATCTGAGATTTTCGTATTTTATTATTAAATCAACATCTATATTACATATTCTCTATATATTCTTTACATATATTTACAAATGTGGAATAGTATATAAGACTGCCTGAATAAAATGTGGAATAGTATAGAAGACTGCCTATTTATATTAAAATTTAGATTTCGCAATCACTTGTTGAAAAATTAATGGATTTTATTTTGAAACTGGAAGGAAAAGTAAAAATATATTGATATATGTGTACCTACACTGAAGCGTAATTATATCTATTATAAAACTACAAGAATTTTTGATATTTTTTCAGTAAATATAAATGAATGTATAGGTCTCTGTATATATGTATATATACCTTTATAAAAAGTTCCTAACTTTTTTTTAATTTTTTTTATAAATTACAAAATTCCTACTAATAATAATAGATTAATATATATTCTCAGGTAACTATTATAAATTATAAATATAAGTAAACTGTAAGTAAATGTAATCATTTAATCCAATAATCTATAAAATTATGATACTTTTTCACATTTACAATTTCAATTATTATTAAAGAAATACTTAACAATGTGACACAAAATTATATTAATTTGTTATATTAAACACAATGAAATGCATATTTATACATGCTATTTAAAAAG